TGAGAAATTTACAAAGTCAGAAGCCACAGAAACAGAATGGAGGAAACTATGTTTAAGTATCTCTTTCACAGATGGTGTTTTTTAATAAGAAAAGATCTGGTGAATCAGAACGTTAAGAGGTGAAACAGTATCTCAATGGTATCAAGCATGGCAAAAATATCAAAGAATTGTTTCTGTTGTTATGGCCCTTGAATAAAGAGGTTAACATAAAAAGTATGTTGTCATCTACAAAGAAGCTTGTCCGGACTATTCTCAGAAACTACTGGTGCAATTTCATCCAAACTTTAGAGGAATGATCAGTACTAAGTTTAGTTGTGCATATTGTTGGTATTTCAAAATTAAAATGATTGTAGCCCTTTAATGATTTTATTTTTTTTAAAGTTTTGTTCACACAACTTCTCTTATATTTCTAATGCAATTTAAATAAAACTTTTCAGGATTCATTTGTACCTCAAGTGATTGCATATATTAAATGGGTTTTCTGGTTGGATGAGTTTTGACTGAGTAATAGCCCTTGAATAACAAGCAATTATCATAGTATTGCAAGCAATCCATAAGTCCCCTACCAGTTAGAACCCCATCAACATTCTGAAGGGCCATTGGCCATTCACTTATGTTTCAATTTTTCTCTATTTTAAGTAAACTTGTTGGAAAAGTTCTTTAAAAGTGATCACAGGAAACATTTTTTATGAACAGACAGACAGACGGACTGAAGGACACTCTAAAGTTAATATTTGAAACATCCCTGTTACCAAAATATAACATTTTAAAAGAAAAATTCTTAAAGAGGAGATAACTCTTGAATTAAAGATACAATTTCATAAAAAAATTCAGCTCTTTTTGACTTATCACAAATATTGTTATATTTGCCATGTTTTAAGCCTATTTGTTGCCAAGGCAACTGATATTTTTTCAAAATAGGAAGAACAGATAAGACATGCATAATCTCAAGACTGCTATCTACCCATATTTCAAGTTTCATAAAAATATTTCCAGTACTTTTTGAGTTATCACTGGATTCAGTTTATGTGTAAAATTTGCCATATTTTCAGTATATGTGTTGCCATAGCAACCAGAATTTTCAACATAGGAAGAAAAGAAAAAGACGTGCATAATTCCAAGACTGCCATCTACCCATATGTCAAGTTTCATAAAAATATTTCCAGTACTTTTTGCGTTATCACTGGATCCAGTTTATATGTAAAATTTGCCATATTTTTAGCCTATTTGTTGCCATAGCAACCAGAATTTTCAACATAGGAAGAAAAGAAAAAGACGTGCATAATCTCCATACTGCCATCTATCCATATACCAAGTTTCATAAAAATATTTTCAGTTCTTTTCAAGTTATCGCAGGATCCAGTTTTGTGGACGGACTGACAGACAGACGGACGGACAGACAGACGGACGGAGGGTAAACCTAAAGTCCCCTCCGGTAAACCGGTAGGGGACTAACAAAATTTGTTTTGTTTGTTAATGATTGTTGTGTCTCCTACTACAAAGTAGCTGTAACATGCAAATGGCTATCATGTGATCTTGTCATACTCTTAAATGTTCACATTTCTATACAAACCAAAACATGTTTATTACTTACATCCTTTTTCATATCAGGGAAACAGTCCTGGTAAATCTAGGTCATCAGTACAAACAGATTTAGATTTACAAGTTCTTAGAAAATCTAAAGAAAAAATCTAAAGAAAAATTACTGCACTACAAGAATAACAACAAAGATTTAGTTTAGTGTGAAAGGATCAGACGTTTATACCATTAGAATTTATCAGAAAAATAAATATTCCATGATAAGACTAAAGAGAGAGACTCTAATACAAGTTTCGTTATGTTCTGACAAAAGGAGAGAGTATTGTATGGGTTGTTGGATCAAGTACAATATCTTATTGTGGAGTGGACTCTGTAGGCAATATAAAAATCTGAGTGTGCACATATATAATATTAGACAATAAAAGGGAAAATGTTTTCTTGGGGAGAACTTTTAGTGAATGTCGCTAAAATCAAATGAAGATAAGTTTCAATCAAAGATGAAGATAAGTTTCAATCAAAGTCTGAAACAAACAGAGGATTTACAATTAAAGATGGCAAAATAAATGAAGCCAGATTTATTCCAAGTGAGAACCCATGGCAAAACTATCATTTGAAAATTCTGAAACAAAAGAGCACTTACGATTGAAAATGGCAAAATAATTAAACGATACAAAATTTATTACAAGTGATTACACAGCAACAAAACTATCGTGTGAAAATTCTGTACATGTCTCTCAGCCATCTACGTCACAGCAAAACTCTGAGTCTGTAGCTTAAGTACAAAACATACCAAATATATTCGCAGAGGATTTACCAAGTGGTGCTATTAACCAAGTAATAGGGTCTGAAGGTGAAAATCTAAGCGATTCTGATAAAATAGTTGATTATGACGATAAAGTACGAGATCCTGATTGGAAATATATTCTGAAGAAAATCCCAGATCAGAAACTGATGAAAACAACAACGTATCTAAAGAGATAAACCTTGATGAAATTGCTGAACTTCAAAATACGAAGCCAAGCAAAAAGGAGAAAAGTAGACAGGAGTAAAAAAGAATGAACAAGGGATAAAAACTTACTGTATGGAACGTGCAGGCAAATATCTGTGTCCTGCTAACTGTGGCAAAAAGTGACAGAAGAGTAAAAATACAAATTGTGATTCCTTAAGGACAAATATTTCAAAAGTTTTGGCAAACAGTGTCATGCGCAGAGAAAAAGGTGTTACGTATTATTGTATAAGTGGTTTTTTCTGCGGTGACTTTATTTCTGCGTTTTCTGCGGTCAGTTTCAGCACCGCAGAAATAAAAACCACAGAATATTTTTCCATGTTTTTGTTTTTTAACCTGGTTCTATATGTGTACTGCATTATGACCTGTTTCATCTAAAGTAATAACGACTAACAGATTATAACTGTTCGGGAACTTGGGTTCTACTTCAAATATAAATCTAAACGAGTATGCGCCTTTAACTTTTATTTCCTTGATAAACGTCAATAAGCGTTGATAAGCGTTGATAAGCGATTCTCTGAAATATTCATTTACAATTTGTACTTCGCAATAAATAATAAACATAAAAACATTCACATCATCAATAAATTATATATGAATTACACAATAAATCTAATTAGAATTTTGTACCTTTAAATTTAAATCTTACTGTAAATTATCTTTTAAAACAATTGCATTATTTTGTTAAATTAAACATACCGATTTTGACTTGTCTCAATACATCAAGTTCCAGATTTAAAATGACGAGATTCTCAATAACAAAACAAAACAAAAATGATGACGTCGACGTAAACATCTTACGTCGCGTAAAGTAGCGTAACATATTGACGCCATTAACAACGTTCACAAATCTGAAGTACTTAGAAATCAATACGTTTCTAACAGTCCTCGCCATGAAATTACTCTTAAATTTCATCAAAATTCGCAATAAAAAGTACATGTACAATAAAGAGACAAAATTGACCTTTGCCAACTTAAAAATATGTATATTCGAATGGTAAATGTTAAAGCTTAGCTTTTAAACTTTAAAATGTCAATAAGCAACATGAGTATGACTAAGGTGAACTTTCAAGTAGACACAATTTAGTAATAGATTTCACTGATTCAGTGTCTTTGTATTTAACAACACAACTTCTAACATGTCCATCTCGGCTTTCTCGTATCTGGATAACACGTCCTAAGGGCCATTGTCCCCTTGTAGTATTCTCGTCAGAAACTAACACAATGTCACCAACACGCAAATCTGTAGTTTTCCTCTGCCATTTTGAACGACTTTGCAGGGACGGTATGTATTCACGGACCCATCTTCTCCAAAATATATTAGCCAGATATTGTACTTGTTTCCACAAACGCTTTACATAATTGTCTTCATTCTTAAACACTCCCTTTGGAATACTGCTGTTAGATTTCATTAATAGTAACATGTTTGGAGTTAAGGCTAACAAGTCATTTGGGTCGTCACTAACAGGGGTTATTGGTCTATCGTTGAGTACCCTTTCGGCTTCTGTCATCAAAGTAAGAAGCTGCTCATCTGTAAGAAGTTGTTGCTTGATTAATGATTTCAAAATAGTTCTCGTAGAACGAATCAGTCTCTCCCACGCTCCTCCTCGGTGACTTGCTTGAGGTGGGTTAAAGTTCCACTTAATTTCTTTTTCAGTCATAAATTTTCCTATTTTCGAATTGTTCCATTCTTGAATCGAGTGTCTTAATTGACGATCACCGCTCACAAGATTTGTTCCATTATCACTGTACACCTTCTTCGGATATCCTCTTCTAGCCGTAAAACGCTGAAATGCTGCGATGAATGAGTCAGTTGTCAAAGTGTGTGTAACTTCAAGATGTACTGCTCTAGTTGCAAGACACGTGAAAAGACAACCGTATCTCTTTACATGTGTACGCTCTGCTTTTACAATAAGTGGTCCAAAGTAATCAATACCTACATTCGTGAACGGAGGTTCATCTGGTGTCGTCTGCTCGGGTAGGAGAGGGGCCATCTGTTGAGTCATCAATGGGGTATGTTGTCGTCTGCATATAATGCAATTCTTTACAATATTTTTCACTGCACTAGGTCCCTGAAGTATCCAGTATTTTTCACGGGATGCGGCTAGTACATGCTGTTTCCCGGCATGACCATTATTTTCATGTATATGTCGTATTATCAATCTTGTCACGGTATTTTTATTGGGTAGTATCACTGGACATTTACTCGGGTTGCGAGATTGAAGTCGACCCTGTACCCGAATGAGGTCATCATATATCACAGGATTCAATGAAGCGATACTGCTGTCCTTTTTGACCGGCTTAGAATTTTGTAAATTGTTAATTTCACTAGAAAATGCTGTATTCTGTACATACAACATTATGTTATGCTCTGCTGTCTGGATTTCTTCTAATGTTAAGTTGCCATCTACCATTTTCAACTTGTGTTTTAGGTATCGCTGTCTGCAGAAAGTCTTGTATCTTAGCAACCATGCGACTGCTCTTCTTAGTTTCGTCCAGCTACAATAGCGATCTATAATGCTATCTAGACATTCAGCTGCAGAAGTTTTATTAATCAGGACTTCCTTCTTGACCTCGTTATCATTTTCTGCTACTTCCGGCGGAAGTGGATTTTTTGTCCATTTTTCAGAGTCTTGCTGAAGAAACGTTGGTCCATTTAACCATAAATGAAGTTTTTCAGTATCGTATGCACTTATTCCTCTGGAAGCTATGTCTGCGGGATTCGAACTTGTGTGCACATGGCGCCACTGGTCTGGGGAAGTTGTTTCATGAATTATGCTGAGCCTATTCCCAACAAACGTCTTGAACCGCTTGGACACATTATTTATATATCCAAGAACAATCATGGAGTCTGTCCAAAAGGTAACTTTGTCAAAATTCATATCTAATTCTTCAGATAACATTGCAAATAATCTACACCCTACTACAGCGCCAGATAACTCCAGTCGTGGAATAGACATCTGCTTTATTGGTGCTAGATGAGATTTTCCTATCACCAGGGAACAATGTACGTTGTCATGTACATCAACAAAACGCAAGTAAGCGCATGCACCATAGCCTCGTTCCGAGCCATCACTGAATATATGTAACTGGGTATTTCTGACGGTCCCAAATCCCTGTGGTCTGTACCAGCGATTCACAGATAGCTTTTCTAAGCTAGATAAGGTAGATAACCATGATTGCCATTCATTACTGATGTTGTGTGGTATCTGGTCGTCCCAGCCAATCTTCAATCTGCACAAACTTTGTACTATACCCTTGGCCTGGAGTGTAACAGGAGACACAAGTCCAAGTGGGTCGTATATAGAACTTACGACGGAAAGAATTCCACGTCTCGTGAAAGGCTTCTTTTCCAATTTTACTTTAAAACAAATTTTATCTTCATTTACATTCCAAAGTACTCCTAAGGCGCGGTCACAAGGTAAGGTATCATCGAGACTCAAATTTACAACAGAAGGCGCGCGTTCGGAGTCTGGGATAGCATTCAAAACTTCTCTGCTGTTACTTAGCCATTTAGTCAGTCGAAATCCGCCTAACTTCATAATTGACTGAAGATCAGTTGCTAACTTTATTGCCTTTTGTTCTGATTCCACAGACTTCAAACAGTCGTCAACATAAAAATTTCTCTGGACTGTAGTAACCACTTCCGGTTCAAATATTTCGGCATTGTCAACTGCAGTTCTCTTTAAGGCATACGCCGCACAACTTGGTGATGATGTCGCTCCAAACAAGTGTACATTCATGCGGTAACACTTTGGTTTCTTATTTAAGTCCCCACCAGGCCACCATAGAAAACGTAAAACATTGCGATCTTCATCCGTAACGCGCACTTGATGAAACATGGATTCTATATCCGCGGCAAGGGCTATTTTCTCTTTTCTAAAACGAATTACTACGCCCATAAGACTGTTCATTAGGTCAGGTCCTTGAAGCAGTTGGCTATTCAATGAAACGCCTTTATATTTCGCAGCGCAATCAAACACAATGCGAACTTTCCCTGGTTTGTTTACATTAGTAACTGGATGATGTGGTAAGTACCAGATACGTTTGTGATAATTTTCGTCCTCCAATTCCGGTAATTCAGTCGCAAAACCTTTCTCTATATATTCGTTCATGGTAGTTGTGTACATTTTCTGTAATCCTGGGTCACGTGACAGTTTGTTTCTTAGTTGTTGAAGACGCACTTGAGCGAGTGGAATGTTGTTAGGCAATTGTCCGTTTTCGTTTTTCCATGGTAACCCCATCATGTAGTGTCCGTCTTTATGAATAAGAGAAGATTCCATTATTTCCATTGCACTTTTGTCTTCTAATGACATAGAATTTTTCTCGTTCAATCTGTCGTTGAAATCAGTATTCCACATCTTTTCTAATTGTTGCTGTAATAATATGTCTCTGGACTGTTCAAAGTGGATATTTACTGCACTGGGAGCTGTATCGTCTTTCAAGGGACCACGAATCGCCCATCCTAGGCGGGAACGCACTGCATATGGTTGGTCACTATCTCCTGACCGTACTTCTAAGGGGATATGGGCTGCTGGGAAATCTGTGCCAATAAGAAGCATTACATCAGTATTGGGAATTTGGGGAATTTCAATGTCAGATAAGTATGGAAAAGTTTTGTAATCTAAATGCATTGCCGCTGATTTTGCAGATATCGGTAGTTTCTTCACCGACCATACCTTACGGAGGGAGACTTCCTCACTTCCGGTTCCGTTTACAGCCATAACTGTAAGGTCCGCTTCATGCCCATAACTCGTGCTGCTAGATGAGTTCACGGTTGATATTTGAAACGTAATTGGCTTACAATCAACATTTAACTTCTGTAACAGTCTCTCGTCACAAAGTGTTTTATCAGCACCATCGTCTAACAGCGCGTATGTATGACACTGAATCCCGTTTTCGCCTCTTACAATCACAGGCACAACACCCAAACAGTTCTTCACAAATGAACTCTTAACAGCTGCGCAATTCACCGAGGATTGTGTGACTGAAGCCTCGTTCCGTGGTCCAGTCCAACTATGTAGTAGAATATTGTGTTTTATTCTACAATCCGGCACGGTACATAACTTTGGTTTCCTACAGTTATTAAAGGAATGATTTCCTTTCAAACAATTAAAGCACAGTTTGTTCTTTTTAACCACTTCGTTCCGTTCTTTTAAATTCATAGACTTGAATTTCACACATGAACATAAGTCTGCACAGTTACCATGGCAACATCTACATTTTCGATCGTACTTCTTCATTTCCGTATCACTGTGAGTAGTCAATGTTGTTATATCTTTTGAAGGTTTTTCAGCATAAGATCGACCGGAAGTCGTCTTGTGTTCCACTTTTAATGATCTATTTTCCTTGACAATGTCTATACCGTACATGGAATTAGCAACTCGCGACTTTTCATCTACAAATCTCGCTAAATCGGAAAACTTTGGTTCTCTACCAGACTCATTAATCACGTGTGTGATCTCAACCCATTTCACTCTCAAATGCATTGGTAACCGCTTCACAATACGTCTCAAATTTTGAGAGTTATCTAATTCACAAGAGAAACCTAGTTGTGACAACGTTATTTCACATTTTTGCATTTCCATTGCTAAATTAGAAAAACCTTTAATGTCAGATGCTGATAACTGGGGACCTTCTACAAGTTTTTCAATGTATGTCCTCTTGATCACGTGCGGTCTTCCATAACGAGAGTATAAGATTTCGCGTGTGCGCTTGTATCCTTCACTTGGTTCTAACAACACACAGTCTTCGATACAAATTTTTGCTTCACCGTAGCAGTATTGTATTAAATAGCTCAACCGTTGGCTGTCATCAGAAACTCTATTTTCTATATTAATTTCAAAGTTCTTTATAAACTTGCAATATTCCGTTGGCTTTCCGCTGAAAGTTAATAGTTCCGGTTTCGGTAAATTGAATCCCTCGTGCAGCGCGAAAGCAAGTTTTTGAAATGCTGTATCAATACCGGATTCACTAACGTCGGAATTTCTTGTACATGATTCGTTACCAGATACTGCGTTTAGCGTGCGATTTGACAATTTGTACGATTCAGTATTACTCATATCACGTGCAGCACGGGAATTAGTGCGTTCAACTCTGTCGTCTGCATCAAATCCGCTTGTACCGCCCAACATTCTGTGATGATTATTATTAATTCCATCATCGGATAATAAACATGCTGACGTATCAGTTCTGGATTTGAAAATCCCATCTTTGCCTTTATGACGTTTATTTGAATTTTGGTCACTAGTAGACTCATTGATTAATATCGTCTGCTTTGAAGATTCATCCGCGTTAACACAATTTTCTTGCCAGACGGATTCTTCTATGTGCGCTTCTTTCAAGAACGATCTGTTGATCAAGTAATTGCTGTTTAAATTCGAGTTCCTTGCGCGCTAATTCGAGTCCATGTTTTTTCTCCAATGATTTTAATTTTAATTCAGCAATCAAACGTTTTGCTTTCGCACTTTTCAACTTTGCCTGTGATGACACGGAATTTGCACTGCTAACTGTAGATAAAACATCATCATCAGGTATTTTCTGCACAGATTTCCACTGTGAAAATCTTTCCTGGCACTCAAAGAAGTTTTGACTACAATGTTCATAATTCAATTCAAGCGTTTTCCGTACATCCGGGTCTGAGCATAAGTCTAAGCATAACAAATGTGCTGATTTAAATGATTCAAAGCGCTCACACAACGTGTCATACAATATTTGTACATCATCTGCGTTCTCATGTGATATCATTTTCAGTTCTAAGTCTTTGTATAATCGCGTCAATTTTCCGAGTTGCGAAGAACGTGAACGCTTAACACTACCAAAATCCTCATGCGTAGGATCTGTTCCATTTTCGGTAGATACTTCCTCCATATTGAAGTAATCGAGAATTGTTCGGGAACTTGGGTTCTACTTCAAATATAAATCTAAACGAGTATGCGCCTTTAACTTTTATTTCCTTGATAAACGTCAATAAGCGTTGATAAGCGTTGATAAGCGTTGATAAGCGATTCTCTGAAATATTCATTTACAATTTGTACTTCGCAATAAATAATAAACATAAAAACATTCACATCATCAATAAATTATATATGAATTACACAATAAATCTAATTAGAACTTTTGTACCTTTAAATTTAAATCTTACTGTAAATTATCTTTTAAAACAATTGCATTATTTTGTTAAATTAAACAAACCGATTTTGACTTGTCTCAATACATCAAGTTCCAGATTTAAAATGACGAGATTCTCAATAACAAAACAAAACAAAAATGATGACGTCGACGTAAACATCTTACGTCGCGTAAAGTAGCGTAACATATTGACGCCATTAACAACGTTCACAAATCTGAAGTACTTAGAAATCAATACGTTTCTAACAATAACTGTTAGCAGGTTTTCAAGTTGAATTAAACTGCTGTCTGCTAAGTTTGTTTGTAAGGATGTACTTATTGTTAATTATGCTAACTTAAGAAATAAAGATATTTAAACAGCTTATATAGTGTTTGCCGATACGCTAAAGGTTTGTTTATCACTAAATCATTCAAACCATTTCAACCAATAAAGTGCTAAATAATCGTCGTATACTTTAATTGTCATCTGATTAACGGTATTTAATTAAAGATACTACCAGGGTTTATTTTTCACACGTCATTTCACGCTGATCAAAAGATGCATACCTTTCTATTGTTGCGCATTATATTTTGTTTGCAAGCAAACAATATAATTGTTTGTAATTACTGTGCAGTTTTGTGGTTATGACGATAAACAAATGCGAATGTGTACATGAAAATAAAATAGAGTAATGTGACTTAGACTTTGATAAGAAGATTCGCAGAAATTAATTCACGTTTTGTCTGAAGAATGTGCCGCAGAAACAAAAACATGCCAAAATTTGGAAAAAACGCAGAATTTGGAGCCCACAGAAAAAAACACTTTTACGGTATTGCATGTTGACAGAGTTGAAGTTAAGCAAAAGACTGAATGTCCAGGTATAGAGAGTCGACACACTTATAGCTGCAAATATTTTCTTAGGAAAAGATCTGAAAGAGTTGAAGTCTGCCAAAACATGTTTAGTGCCACACTTGGCATGAATACTAGAACTATCTATAATTGGTTAAATGATGAAAATAGTAAAAGTAACAATGTTACAATAAAAAGAAATACCAGATAAGAAAACGTCTGTAAACATTAAAAAAGCAAATGAAAGTGTACATAGTAAACAAAATGAAACTTTGTTTGTTTGTTTGTTTCATTTTAGGCCTTTTTCCAATAGTATTTCAGTCATATAGGCGGGTAGTTTCCTAACCATCGTTCCTGGAGAGTTACACCAGTACAAGACTACCTTCCTCCGCGCTAAACTACCAAAGCATCTCCCGGGGATCGAACCCATGCCAGAGAGGTAACTGGATTAGAAGTCATCGACTCTAACCCCTCGACCACGGAGGCGGTTAAAATGAAACTGAAAACTGTGCAAACTCAATACCAACCACAATGTTGGTATTTTCCTAACAATAACATTCATGCCGTTAAATTACATTTTAGAATAAAATTCGAAGAAAAAATGTTTAATTGGTTATATATATGGAATGCACACTATTTTACTCAAAAAAGAAAAGTCCCCGGGAACTATTCTTTTAATAGGAATCGCCGTTCAAAAATGATCCCCAGGGATTATACCGGGATTATATTAAGTGATATATTTCTATATAGAGATGGTATTTTTTATTTATGTAATTTAAAAGTAAAATTATTAATATTGAATGAATACTATTACTGTTCTATAACAATTCTGTAGTAAACATGGAATTCGTAATGTATATGAGGTTTACTGAATTTACGTTTTCCTTTTAATAGGATTGCTGTTTACTTGTATAAATATACATTTTAAAACAAAGTAAGTCTTCTGAAATGCATTAATTGTAGCAAAGACATGAATTCATTTTGCCGAAAATATTATGACAGATAAAATCTGTTGAATTGTGTGTAAATGAAATTTACAAAGTAATGTGTAGAAACAAGCGTCTGTGTAATCACCATCATCACTGAAAGTGAAGTCAGCGATTGTTTACATTCCAAGAAATAGATTAGTCCCTGGAGGGACTTTGCCAGGAGCCGAGATGTTTGATGGAGTTTTAACTACATTTAACACCACAAGAAGAATGCTGAATCAACAAGAATAAACATTGGTAATACAAAACAAACAATTGATGTGCTTCAAGGACTCTGAGGAAAAAGTGTGTTCAGCTGAAATGTCAGCCAAACGAACCAAACCGGGAAAAGTAGGTAAAGCTAATGCAAAATCGGAGCAAAGTGGCTCAACAAATGCGCAAACGGAGAAAAGTGTTTCATCTAATGCTTCAACCCAGCAAGGTGTGTCGTCTAATGTGTCAACAGAGGAAAGTATGTCAGGCAATGCGTCATCAATGGAGCAAAGTGGCTCAGCTAATTTATCGACGGAGCAAAGTGTGTCAGGACTGCTCTCATGATCCACAGTCTACGCCAGACCCAGAGATGACTCCAGATGTATTTGGTTTTGATCAAACGATATCTTCAACACCAAAGTACACAGAAACTGCAATTCCAGTAGAAAATAGTCAAAATTCGTCTGAAGAAGTAGTTTCTGCATCTAATTCTGATGATGATGATGATGGATATATGTCAGAGGTTTGGATTGATTTTTCAAACTTAGATGAAGAGTCCGAGGTTGACAATGAGAGTGATGAGGAATATGTACCTCACAAAAGGAGAAAAAAAGGAAAGACTTGTGAGGTTTCATCAGGAAGCAGTTCACAAGATGACACTGATAGTGCTGAGGAAAATGTACCAAAAAAAGAAGAAAAAAAAGGAAGACTGATGTAACAACGGAGCAAAGTATGTCAGACAATTGTCATAGGAGCAAAGTGGCTCAGCTAATGTGTCAACGGAGCAAAGTGGCTCTAAAGAAATTAAGATATTTGATGCTTGTTCAGCTGAAGAAGCAATCGAGTGCATAAGAAGACAAATCAAGGAATTGAAAAGAAGAGGTGATAATTTAGAATCAGTAAAAACTAGATTTCGTCGATACAAATAAATTCTGTCCAGTAAGTGCAATTGATCCAAAAAATAGTTTCTTGTATAAATTTAATGAAGCCCATCGGAGGCATGAAATAGAAACAAATACGCAATACAGCGTCTATAAATTGACAAAACATTTTGGGAGCATTACTATTCAGCTCGAAAGGAAAAGGGTAAATGCAAATTGATTTTTCTGTGAAGACAGAAATCAACATAACAGTGTAAAGGATTATAAAGATGGACAAATTATTATAACAAGAGGACCATGATGGCCCTGGATCGCTCACCTGACACAACCGCATCCAAGGAATGTCTTAAACAAGCATCATGGCCAAGTTTGATGACAACTGAGTCAAACATGTGAACTCTAGTGTGTTAAAAAGATTTTTCCATATTTGGGCAAACTGCAGCCACTAAAGTGTTAAAAAGCTTTTTCTTTTTTTAGCTCCTGTGACCTAGTTTTAGACCCGGGATGACCCATCTTCGAACTTGACCTAGAAATCATCAAAACAACCTTCCTTACAAATTTCCAGAATATTTGGATGAAAACTGCAGCCCCTAGAGTGTTAACAAGCTTTTTCTATTTCTAGCTCCTGTGACCTAGTTTTTGACCGAAGATGGCCCATCTTCGAACTTGACGTAGAAATCGTCAAAACATTCTTCTTGACAAATTTCCAGAATATTTAGATGAAAACTGCAGCCACTAGAGTGTTAACAAGCTTTTTCTATTTTTAGCTCCTGTGACCTAGTTTTAGACCCGAGATGACCCATCTTCGAACTTGACCTAGAAATCATCAAAACAACTTTCCTGACAAATATCAAGAATATTTGGATGAAAACTGCAGCCACTAGAGTGTTAACAAGCATTTACTATTTTTAGCTCCTGTGACCAAGTTTTTGACCAGACATGACCCATCTTCGAACTTGACCCAGAAATCATCAAAACAACCTTCCTGACAAATTTCCAGAATATTTGGATGAAATATTCAGCCACTAGAGTGTTAAGCTTTTTCTATTTTTAGCTCCTGTGACCTAGTTTTTGACCGGAGATGACCCATCTTCGAACTTAACTTAGATATC